AGGAGCGTCGATCTGTGAAGGATGGAAGTACTCAGCAACCCGAAGATAGCACTGATGTTCCCGAAAGTTCTAGTCCAGTTTTTGTTGCAGTTGTCGCCAAGGAGATTTCTGCAGTTACTGTTGATTCGTCAGCGGATGGTAAAGACTCTTCTGCAGTGGCTAAGAAGGACGGTGTTATTGTAGCTTAGTTATGTCTCGTCATTTATATTGTAATTATTGTAATTAAGGTTTCTTTATCCGGTGTTCGTAAGCTAATAAATAAGAACAGTTTTTTGCTTACTTCTGAGCGTAACACACCACTTTTACACGTGCTTCCGATATCCAAATTTGCCAAACATAATAATAATTCCAGGTTTTGGCATTGTTAATGAGAATTGTCATTTTTTAACACATTCACGACTACACCGGTTTTCAAAATATTGCCTTTTCGGATCAAAGCATATTTCGCAATATCGACTTGTGCAATATTTTCCGCTTCTGGTGGTCCTATGGTCTGAACTGTCAACCTCCCGGAAAGTAAACTAAGAGATGTATATAGAAGTTTGTTCAGTTTGCCCAAAGAATTTCGTCGTAACCTAGCAAAGTCGAGAACTTCAAAAAGCGTACGACCCACCGGGGGGTCGTATTGTCCGAATTGGCATAACACGTACGACCCAACGGTGGGTCGTATTGTCGTGAATGCGTTAATCTCTCCTAAGTATGGTTTTTATTGTTATATAAATAGTTTTAGTACAGATTTTAGGTATAAACTATTAATGGCTAGATCAAAGCGTTAATGCAGTTCTCTGATATGTATAAGTATGTTTTTCCCTCGAAGTTGTTTTTTTCTGTTCGATTGGGTTTTCGGAAGTAAGCTTGGAGGTAAGCCATCGTTTTGATGGCAGCATCTCCAGAAAACTTAAGAACTTTGAGAGCAGGAAAACTCTACACTGAGTTATCCTTGGCCCCTTGAATCTTATTTCAGTGAAGCTTAGAATGAAATCTGCTTTCAATCTGGCAGAAAATGTTACTCGAATAGTTGAATATACCCGAAACAGGCCATCGCAAGAATCTTAACAAATTGCTCAGTAAACTTATGATGCTAATTTGCAGGTATTTACAAAAAGAAAATTTTCCTACTCCTTCACGTTACCTGATCCATAGTCGTTGAACTAACAAATAGTTGCCAAGAGCAAATATCATTAGGTAAGCTGTTC